GCAGTCACTCACAGCAGCAGATTCCTCTCCACTGGGCACCTTTCCTGTTACTATTGCTCCGTATGATACACAGTTGCTGTGATGCCTGCAGGGTACCTCCGTCTGGGAAGGTAAGATAGGCACTCGCGAGCTGTACTGTAAGCAATTACGTTACAGACAAACCGTTCTTATTTGTTGTGGCTGCATCCCTCCTGTTCTTCATGCCTACCTGTTTTTCCTATCCTGTTCTTTCTCTCTGCAGCGAGCTCTGGGGGTATATAAGTAGGGAGGGTGACAAAGATTCTTGAGCCATAAACAGCACTACTAACACAATTTCCCAAAAAATTATGTTCTGAAATTATATGTGGAGGTGTAGATTTGCCTACACACAACTAATAGGCAGTGCACTATGTGCCCGTGCATACTGCTACAATGAACAGGGTAACATGGTTGCATCCATGGAAGCTCCAGCACTGTTCTTTCTTTTAGACTTTTGTGGACTTTTGGAAATAGATTTTTTAAATTTTTTTTTTAGAGCCCTAGACAACCAAATAGTCCTGTTTGGCCATTTAGTTTAGAGTCTGAACCTGGCAAGGTCGCTAGTATTTGGATATCGGACTGGGGATTAGCACCTTGGTGCTGTTTTGTTTGTTTACAAGCACAACTGTGGAACTCCTTCTCTTCCTAAATGCAAGTTTCATTAGACCCCAGGGAACCTTTCTGAGGAGAAAAGTCACCCCACCAAAGGAGTGTCTCAGTGGGTCACCCACATCTTCCAAGTGCTTCCAAGGAAGGGTGGATGTGAGCTCACAGCTGGCACTGGGAGCACAGGACCCTGCAAGTGTGGCCTTACATGACCCTGTGTGAAATGGAGCTACAAATTTACATCCTAATGACAACATTTGGGATCTACAGGCCTGAACTTTATCTACAGCAACTTTTCCCAGCTCTGTAGATGGACAGAAAGATGTGAGTGCTCTTCTCATTGATCACCTCCTATCTGCTGTATTAAATCCTGTGCCCGCCCACAGGCTGATGCTCGGTGGCAGTTCTTTTCTCTTTTGTGCATAACACAGCAATGGCATTTTTAACAAACACTTTGTAAGTTTGAGAAATAACACTTTGTAAGTTTTGCTCCGACAGCAAAAAAACCCAGCGATGTCTCAGTTTGTGTCGGGTAAGATGCAGTGCAAATATTTTTAACGTCTTCCTAACGATGAGTGCCGCGGGCTGCAGCTCCAGGGCCGGATCCCCGGCACTCAGCCTGAGCTGCCAGGAGCGGCCCGAAGGTGGCAATGTCGGATCCTCGAACGGGCCTCGCTGCGGTCCGCACCGTCGGAAACGCTTCTCGGAACCGAGCGCTGACACGCGGGTGGGAGTTACAGCTCCTCGGTAATCTGGAGAGCTGACCCATGCATCTGTACGCCTTTTGAGTCCTAAAACTTTTAGTGTTAGAAATCCAATCATACTTAAAGACGGCAAATAATGGTACATTTTTGTCGACAGGGAAGACTTTGTCTTTGCATACCAGAGCTATGCAAAAATGCTTCTTGGTCTCGTGCCCGAAGTGCATTTGCTGTGGGCGGGGTTTCTGCTGTCAGAGGAGAAGCAAAGAGCCAGAGGGAAAAAAATCCTCCTACAGGTTTTCACTGATCACCTCAAGAGGAATGTTTGATTGATGCGATTTCAGGGCATACCAAAGCCCATATCCTGGAGTGAAGATGCCAACTATTGATGCTGATGCTTCTGTTCTTATCAAATCATGTTCGTTTTCGTCCTGTGATACCCAAACTGAATTTGTGGACCCTATCTTTGCCTAACAAACAGATAACTTTCCCCAGTTATTGTACCATACAATGCTTTCCTGTCTTAATTCTCCCCGCTCAGATTATCCACGGAAGCATTCCTCTCAAAAATTAAATACAATTTTAATTATATAGGGTTGCAGATGATTTTCTTCATTTCCCAAAATGTGCTTCTAATTCTGAGTGAGACTGAGTTCCTTGGCTGACCTGAGAACTGCTATCACTATAAAAGTCCTGGAGAATAACGCTCAGTTTCTTTGTGCTGTGAAGTGCATCACTAATGCTAATGAGCAGCACTGCTTCCATTTATCATCCAGCAACTCTGTGTCAAAACTTTGTATGCAATTACCTGTGGAAACTTACGGTAGCCCACGCCACTTAGTTCCTATGGGAGGCACAACACGTAGATGGCAGCACAGTACAGACCATAGACACATTACTATCCTTGCTGACCGTGATGGGATGATGGGGAGCTGTAAAACCTCCCTCTAATTTTGGAAACAAACAGCCTTGTTTTTTGTTTTTTTTTTTTTGAACTCTAACCACCAGATGATGTCTGGAAAGTGGTTTTTTTCCTGGTCAGTACCTTTGGCAGCCTAATCATTGTAGTTAAAGCCTTGTTTGTGGACTGCACAATGTAAGCAGGAAAGAACATTATGAACATAACAAAGATGGCTACAAAACCGCAGATATTCAGAAGGATGCCTGATCAAGGAGCACCTGAAACCTCAGTTTGGCAGTGCTGCCATGTCTGTGTGCCCCAGCTGACTTCAGAGTTGCACAAGGCTGTTCGACTCTTGTCACAAGGGCTACAGGAATAATGAATGAATATTTATAAAGTGCAAATTTGCTCTGATTACCCTACCTGGTCTGCTGTGTTCCCAGTTATGGCAGAAGTTTATTTCTGTTTATTTCTGGATTAGTTCCCACAGGCAAAGAGAAAGTAGAAGTTCCATTGGGCAGAGCAGAAGCAACCTCTGATACTACAGACCTGCTATTTCTTTGCTGTGCCTTTGGCAGAACTAATAGCAGCCATGATACCTTCAGTGATTTCTAGGGAGTATTTCAGAAGATATGAGATGCTAGAACATGAGAAAGAAAAACAATAAGCAAAAAGGGAGGAAGCTCTAATTTTATTGTTAATAATTATTAAGCCAAACTGACCATTTTAAGTTTGTCAGTGCAGTGCAGGCAATGATCTCCTTCATTGTGGGGTGTGAATTTATCTTTATTGGAGGTGTGTGCTTTTACACAGTCCTGCTGACTGATCCCAAACAGGGAACGCTGTCCTGAGGACTTACACTCTAATGTCACGAGATGAGACAGAACGCACACAGAGCTGAAGTGCCTCACTGGAGTGGCACTTGGGATCTGAACTGATCTCCACTTTCCAGTCCTTTAAATAATCATTTCTATGTTAGCAACACTGAGATCATTAGAAATACTGAATTTGACTTATTAAAATATCACAGAGGAAGTGGTAAGTGAGTGGGTAACTCTCGAGTTAAGCATTTTTCTGGGCTAGTAATAGAACCTTTGGAGTGTATTTTTGTTGTTGGGAGTGATGCTCATCCCCTGTTGTGAAATCTAGCCCATGCCTTCAGTTCTGCCTGCTTTCTGCAGGTTGCAGTCCTGCTCTCTAGATGGCTCAGGGGATGCTACCGTTCCACCAGTTCAGAAGGCATTGCACTCTGGGCTTTATTTCTGCATTTTTGGTACACTTCTCATCTTTTGGATAAATAAATACTAAATTCCTGTTAAATCTTGCACAAGGAAGAAATAGCAACTGTTAATGCAGAGAAAATTGGGATATATACTACTGAATGATGCATGAGCAGAGATTTCAAGACTCCCAGTCTTCAGAGTCACATTTGTCACTTTTTCATTTAATTTCTGATTAAACAGTCAGTTACATCTGTAGGACTGTGGGTATCCAGTCCAGTTTTCAGTCTGTTGTAGATCCAAGGGAAGAACGTGAAGTTTTACAGCTTTCTTGCAAGAAGGGTCTGCTCCTTTCCTCTTGCTTTAACTTACAAGTCTTTTTTTCTTAACTAAGCCAAAAGGAAAAAAAGTAACTGTGGGGAACAGAACAATTGTAGGGAAGAACTGCCTATTTTAGGCACGAACTGCCAGGAACCGCTCTGCTCGGCGCTGACACTGGTTCACACTGCTCCTGGACAGCCCAGGGTGACCTCTTTGCCCAGGCTCTGTGTACTACTCCTTGTTCTCTGATAGCCACGTGTCAAGAACGAGGTGTGGGAAGGATAAGTAATACAGAGTTGGTGCTGGTGGGCATTGGCGGTTCTCTGCATTTGAAGGACGCGGCTCCAATTCATCTGACCTAACACTGACCTGCAAATGAGACACCTGAATTAGGAACCTGCCTCATTCTAAAAAAAATTGTTTAAAAAATAAAAATTGGGAAGATTTCAAATCTGCCAGTAGTGATCTAGGGCTTCAGGCAATGAAGCCATGACTTCAGGCCCTTTGGGAAGGGCCTAACACAAATTTTGGCTCAGTCTGTCTACAGCGCGAAGGAGGAAAACTGAAGGGTGAGCTTTTGTCCACTGAGAGACTCCCACGAACTCTGGTTACAGTCACACAGAGAGCTGCAGCGCTAAGAATGAGAACCTTCTGCAGCAAAACTTGTTTCGCTTTTGCATCAGCCATTTGTGCCCAGTTAAGTTCTACCCAAACAAGTCATGAATGTATACAGCACGCTGCTTTTCCTTCCCAGATGTGTATCTTGATAACGTGCAAACTCTTGATTCAGTTCTGCATAACTGTTGTTGCTTAATCAGACTTGCTAAAGCCTATGACTCTTCAATGACACCACTAAGACCACTGAGTATGGAAGTCAGTTCTGAATTGCAGTGAAATAATATAAAGGAGCAAATGGAGACAAGTCCCACGTATCTACTAACAGGAAGTTTCCCTAAACCCCCACCTGTCACAGAAGTGCAATGCTTCAAAGCACTGTAGCAGAAATACTGAGTCACAGCCTGAAGCAGCACCTGGTGGGAAGGCAGGGCCAGCCCAGGGAGCTCGGCTGCATGCAATGTACTGAGTGATGGAAGGGCTGGAGCCAGGATCCACCCCTCATCAGCCCTCAATTAAGGGTTGCCCAGCTTTTTCTATACTCAGGTGATTTTATTTCCTGATAAACGCTTTAAATTTTCTGAAGCCAGTGTGCTCTACCTGGTGATGCTCGTTGCTCACTTCTCACCTCCTGCAGGTGGTGGTGCCTGCCTATAGCACTTGTGACACTCCTTCCACTCCTTAAGAAGCACATGGAAAGGAAAGGAGAGCCTAACAATTTATTACTTGAAATTAATACAGCTATTGCTGTTGAATTTGTACTGTCTGTACTTCTGCAGTATACGCAGGTCAATACAAATAGCAATGCAAGCCGATCTCTATTGGAGACATGCACCACTCTGTCAGTGGGAATTCTAACGTTCTTTTGACTTCATAAAAGCACAAAGTGTTTTTATTGGAACTTTCTTGTTGACTGCACATGCTGTTAAAAGAGGAGTGATAGCTGACTTGGTAGCTGTCAGCTGTGTCACTGGAAACAGTCATCTTTTGAATCAATCCATAATTTTCACGAATTTGACTAAAATCTCAGATAATGTACTCTAAAGAGTCATAATCACCTTAAATGTTCCGCCTTCACAGTAAAAGCCAGAACGCAGCATGTGGGTTTCATACTAATGTTGTGCTCTTAAGACGCGTATCTGGATTTATTTAGCATATGGACTACAGCATGCGTTACCTTGTGTAAAACAGAAGCAAGTTTGTTACAGTGATTCATAGTGAGACATGTTGATGCACTTACAAGTGATGTGCTGCCAAGTACAAAATTATAGAAGGGTTCATCCTGCCAGGCTGATTTGTTCCCGGCTCAGGCAGAGCTCCCAGCAGGAGGGATGCTGTCACAGGTTTGCTCTACCAACACCCAGCTTCAGGGCGATCTCTCTTTTTCTGGACAAGGACTTGAGAATCAAGTTATAATTCTGGGATTAAAATAAAGTGACACATGAAATAAATGACCATGAGCTCAATGTAGAGACGCTGAAAAAATGGATGGACTTGTTAGCTAGAAGAAAAGGGAAATAAGCTTAGGTTTTATTTGATGAGTCTCGATTTCTCCCTTCTCACTTCCAAACGTACAGCTCAGCCTGTCACACACAGTCTGAGATAGGCAACTGTTGCTCACAGGACCAGTCTAATTACCACTTCTTTCTGTAATGAATGCTGACACAAAAGGAGAAGGATATACAGCACTTGTATTGTAGCCAATGCTACAGATGATCAAACATTTTTGAAATTAAGAGTATTTTGGATGGAAAATGTGTCCCTTTTTTTGTCACGATGTTCCTGTTTTTTATCCAACTCTAATTAAAGCTGAACAAGAGTGAAAAGCTGGTTATGTTCTTAGCTCTGGCACATAATTAATTGCCAAGAGTTTATGCTGGGTGTGTTAGCTCTCTGTAGGAATGCTCCACAGGCACATTTTTCTACAGCAGCAGATTTTTAGAGCCCTAATTATTTGTAAAGTGCACTTTTTAAAGTTTGGGAATTATTCCTTAAAAATAAGTGTAGCAAAATACCTTCAAATTTTATTTAAGATACTTGAAAAAAAACACCAGTGTAAGGAGTGCTTGACCAACCAGCTTGGGCTGAGGAACAAATTCTATGTTTTTTGGCTCTCATCAAATACAGCAAACCATCACACATGCTGGCACTCCCATCAACCAAGCCAGTAAGCAACAGGACTTCTGCAAACTGGCGTAGAGAAGCATTAGTAAATGTGATGGGAACTTTCAAATCTCCCTACCTCCTAACAGTTAATGGGGGGATAAAAAAGTGTAATTCATGAGTTTATGTCTTCTTTAGGTCTGAGCACACACGAAGTCAAACAAGCGGATTTCATACTTCTTTTTTTTTTTAAGTTCTGGAGTTTGTCTCCTGCGTTGTTATGCAAACCAGTCTCATTCCCTCCACAACAAAGGGGTGCCTGGCACTTCTCTGCATAGGGGCAGGTGCCAAACCTGAGCTCCTCCCTGACCCAGGTACTGCCCCAGTTGTCAGTGGGGAACCTGTGTGGAGAAATATCATACAGTTGTGCTTTAGGGCCTTAACTGCATTTCCATGGCCTATTCGAAGTTTTCTCCATTACTATGATGTCTTTAATGCTGGTAAAGGTATAGTTAATCAACTCTAAAGTCCCTCATGATTGAGGACAGGAAAGGATAAAGCTGTCAGCACCCCCCGCTCCATGACTCAAATGATATTTTCTTCTTTTTTTTGTCATCAGTGGCAACTTCCCACGACCACATATTTTCTGCTCCCTCTAAAGAACCCAATGCTGAATGTGAATGGGTAGCTGCAATATTGATTCGACAAGCAACGGTAGGGTGTTCCCTGGAAACAGGCCTCCCTTAATTCTGTTTCATATCTGAGGTAAAGTAAAAACATGGAAACAGATGGTAGGGAACGACTGGCATCTTACCATGCATATTTCATTTCATTTGCAGCTAGTGTCCCCTTGACAATATTAAACGCTACAGAACTCAAAAGACTGTTCCTTGGAATCCTGCATTCAATGACACAGGATCAATACTGTAACTTCATTTAAATTTTGGAGCTGATGAGCTCTAAGTATCTGCATCTTCAGTGAGGTTATGATACAAACAGCTGGGCTCTTTTTTTGTTCCTGGCATGTTTAGGGCTGACTTACAAAGAAATGTACAGCTGCTGTTGTGAATGACGAATCTGACTTTATGTTCCTTAAGAGCACAGTGGGACAAACCTCTGCGGTTATTTCGATCGTGCTCTAAGGCATTTTACTGGGAGAGAATTTAGCCATTAATTTTGTTGTATTTACATTATTTATATACAAGAAAAATGACAGCCTGCTTAATGATTATATACATTGTGATTCAGTTGGAAAAAATGTGCAGTACAAAAGACAAAACATCCTCTTGAGTACAGAATGATACGTTATTTTTGTCAGAGAACTTCTCAACCCTAAAAACCCACTGTGTGATCTCTGCGAAAGCCCTGTCCTGAGCGTAACACTGGGAGGCTTGGGAGGAAGAAACAACATAATTGGAGACTTCTTAAACCACATCAGTTCCTGGTTAACAGCCCCTTTTCCTCCTTTCAAAATGAGGGTAACCTCTGTAAAATGCTTCCAAAGCAAAGTAAAAGATGGAATCTGATAAAACAAAACGTTATTCAATATGAGGAAAAACAGTAACTTAAATGTCACTCATTGCCCTGTTGTCAGTAGAGATACTTGGGAACAAAATATCACTCCCCTGTGATGCATTGCTTATCTGAGACTTTGTTTTTAATAAGAACTGTGCCCTCCTGTACATGATTCTTTCCTGTTCCTGCTTCAGCTCAATGTAGGAGCGTGAGAACGTGTGGAAGATGGAAGTGACTGGGAAAGCCATGAGGAGGATGCCGCTCAGGATGCTGCTCAGCGCCACCACTTGGCCGGGAATGCTCCTGGGAACCATATCTCCGTAGCCTACCGTGGTCATGGTGATGACAGCCCACCAGTAGCACGCGGGGATGCTGGTGAACTCCTGTGAGTCCGCCATCTCATTCTCAATGACGTACAGGAGCGGTGCAAACAGTGCGATGGCCACGCAGAGGAAGAGCAGCAGGAGCCCGAACTCCCGGGTGCACCTGCGGGCGGTCAGCCCCAGCGTCTGCAGCCCCAGGGAGTGCCTGGCCAGCCGCATGACGTACAGAATCCTCAAGGCACGGAGTATTCGGAGGACCAGACCGACTTTGTCCAGGTAGATGCTCCCGGAGCTGGGCTTCTTGTAACCCACCGAAGTGGTGTCTACCAGCAAGGTGATGTAATACGGCAAAATAGCTATTATGTCGATCAGAGTTAACGGCCTCCTCAAAAATGCAAACTTGCTCTTTGCCTGGATGAATCTCAGCAGGAACTCCAGTGAAAACCACGCCACACAGACAGACTCCACAATGAAAATATTGTAGCACATCTGGGAACACTCACCCTGTAGGAAAGAGGAGGAGTTTGTAATCAGCACTCGGATAATAACTATTTTAGTTGGTGCAGTGACAGGAAGAGAGTTTTGTGGGATTTTTAAAACCCAAAATATTAAAGGAGTTGAAGCTGTTGCTATGGGAAAACACAATGACAAATTGGAACAAGTTAAATGCAAATCTTAGAAAAGAACTACTTATTCCACAGAAGACATTGCTTGGTAATTTCAAGCATCCTAAATAGCAAATGCAAGCTTAACAAGGCATTACAGACAAGAATGTACAGAAAAATGCCCAGGAACAACGTTTTCTTTGGACATAGAACTCGATACGATTGATTCTTTTGCAGGTAATTGAACACAGCCATATATGATTTCAAATATTCTTTGTGTATTTTTTTCCATCCAATAGCAGCTGCAAAATCCCTATTCAAATCAACACCATCAGACTTTGTAGCTGTTCTGCTCCTCCCAGCACATACCATTTTCTAACTTGAAAAGGGAACTTACCTTATCCTCCTCCTCCCTCAGGTCAGGCATGGTGCTGATGGACAAATTCACTGCTGTAATAGTTACAAATAAAACAGACAAACAAGCAAACACCTTCCCAGGGAGGCCAGACTGGGGTCGTTCTACCATGTCCTGCAACTTTTTCATGCACAAGCCAACTTTTGTTTCCTCTGCTGTTTCACCTGTTGTTTCATTTTCTATAAGGTCATCCTCCCGTTCATTTATTTCAGTAAACTCCTCCATTTTTTGCAGATACCTCCTCTTACAGCACCAATCCAAGTTGTCTTCCTCAATTCCCCAGTAGAGCAGCTCTTCTTGAAAAGACAGCGCACACATCTCACGCAGGAGCCGAAGCTTTCCAACCCTCAAAAAGGTCAGGATTGTCCTGAACGCTCCTGGGTTGCGGTCAAAAAAGAACTCATTGCACGTCACATCGTAATCATCACAGATGTTTAAGATGTCATCAAAATTGTTGCAGAATTTTAGTTGTCCCAAGCGTGTCAATGGGAATTCATCGAGCGTGGTCCACGGGAGCAAATACTTAATGCCCCCTACATTTATGATGATATGATGCTTCCGGTCGTCAGGGTGAAAGCCTTTCAGGAGATCCTCTTCAGGGTGAATTAGCTTGGCTCTTTGGTAGAAGACGCCCTTGAGGCTTTCTGTTTCGGGGAAGAATGCGTGGTTGAAGGAAGCATCTGAAGCACAGCTGAGGGCACTATAGTCATAATCAGAATTTTCTCCAGGTAGAAGAGTCATCTTGGAAGATAACTTCACATCCCTTTGCTATTCGTTGAGTGTCTTCTGGAATGAAAACCAGATACATGGATTTAGTGGTTGCTTTTGAGTTTGGAACAAACGTAGTGACTGAGGCTCAAAAAACATTTACGACTGATGTAATAACTGGAAAAAAACAGCAGGGGCTGAATACAGCCAGAAAAGTTTTCTGGAGAGGCTCTTTTTGTCCAGCCAGGGAGAAATGACTCGCACAAAGGCCACTCCCTTATCCAGGGGCTCTGCTGGGCATTTTTGTCAAATTAGGGAACTTCCCCTGTCTCACATGCAGCGATCTCAGTTCCTGCAGCTACAGAGGGAAAACAGGAATAGTTCTTGCATGTGGCATGTGCAAAAATTATGGTAGTACCAACAAGAACACAGCATTCAAGTGTGTCTTGTAGAAAAGAAAATCCTATCTTTTTTTTTTGTAATTTAACTATTACAGATAAAAATCCCAATTATTTTTGCATTCATTATGTATATAGTAAGAATTGAGAGTCAATTTTGCTATAATTAACTAAGTACTTAAAAACAACAGTATAAGACTAATCTCTAAAAGGCCTTACAGAAAAAAATTTGGAAAAAACAGTTCTATTGATGATGACATTTGTATAGAGTTTATGCATATTTAATGCCATGGCAACTCACTTCTTAAAGCCTCACGAAAGATTGTTTGGAAATACGGAGTTTCTGCACAAATATTGGGATGTTACTGCAATTACAATTAGCACCCAGTGCACAGTAATAGGCTGTAATTATACAAAACCCAAACATGCTTCTGATGAGTTTGAAAATCAGGTTAAAATTCTGCTCACACAAAAGCAGTGTTAAGCCCAAGGAATGAAGATCACAAAGTTGTAACGGGTATAAATCAGAGATACTGGGAACACTGAACTCTACCTGCCCAACTCACTGTGATGTAGCAGCTGGTCTGAGAGCTTTGCACAGAGCTGTGCGGTTCCACTCCTGGGTTGCTCATCTCCACAGCCAGCCACAACTCAGTGCAAGGAATTGCTGAACTGCATGTGACTACAGTACATATTCATTGCGTGGACTGTACAGTGATGAGCAGATATTTGTTACACACACATACTCTGACTTTCTAGCCACAAGTAACAAATATTACAATTAATTCACTTCAATAGCAGAACAGTTTTGTTCTCCAGGCTGCACTTACCTCCTCTTTGTTTTGCCCTCTGGGGCTGTATATCCCTGCTAGAGCAACTTCCTTAAACACAGAACTGTTCTCAGAAGCTGAGGATCATAACTCACATCAGTGGTGTTACATACCTGTTGCAAAAGAAAAAATCATCAGTACACAACAGCAAAATACTTTAAACAGCTGCACCTCAGTTTAAGAGCAACAAGCCTTCCTTGCTGCATGGGGACTTAAAATAATGTTTTCAATAAAATGCTATCCCAGTCGTGCTCCAAACCTTCCCAGGAGATTACTGTAAATGGAACAGCTCCTTACAAGCTCTTACAAACAGGTGTCCCCAGGTGAGCTCTGGGTGGAGTGATACTGCTTGATGTTTCATGTTTATACTCCTGAGTACAAACAGAGACCATTCGTTTACTTACCTCTAAGGCCTGTGGTGGGACTGTGGGAGGACAAAGCCAACGGGACGATGCAAGAAAGGGCACAGTGTGATTCAGACCTCCTGAGAGCTGTGGAACATTTCCTGGCCTGAGGTAAGCAAAGGGGTTTGCTCTGTCACTGCCCCAAAGCGTCTGTAATCTATAGCTGGTGATTCCAGAACAGCTCTTTGGAGAGTTACCACGCTCTGTGCAAAAACCTAAACCATGCTTGGCTTCGGTGCCTCCTACCTGTGCTTGTGCTGAGTAGCTATGCCTTTGCTTCAGAGTTATGGGTCTGGAAATAATCCCCATGGCAGGGAATGGGCAATCCTAAAACTCCTTTGGGAGAGTGCAGAACTGACGAAATCCCACAGGCTGCACTCAAATAATTTTTCTATCAATGGCAGCTTGCATCTAGCCTCAAAAAAAGGCTAAGCAAAGGCCTGCTGACCTGCAAGCCCTGCTTTCTAAACAAATGTTAACATGAATCATAACTATATTAAAAAGTGATACTGTAGGAAATCCTGGCCAATGCTGGAATTATCAGTGAGCATCACAGCATACTGTGGCACTGTGCCCACTGCCCCCTGGAAAAGCTGCAGCACTGTGATCAGTGAACGGATCTGAGAGGAATGGCAGCAGGCTCAGGCAGCACCCGCCGAACGGTGGGAGAAGGGAACAGCTGGCCTGGTAATTACCCTGATGCTGCCCCATCACACGAAGCTCTCCTAATGGCCTAAGAGCTGTTTCCTACCAAAGCACTCCCAGGATCCCATCTGTAGAAGGAATGCCGCCAGGAGTTCAGGCCATAGGTTTGATGCGGGAAAAATGGGACTACCTGACATAGCCTTCTCCTCAAGAGAGACAGCCATCTTGTTTAGGAACAAGGTTTGTTCCCTCTGCCTCAGCTATGTCTAAGCAGGGCTTGCCTCAAGAGAATTGAGATTATGATTAATGGAAGACTGTGGGTAAATGAGAGCTAAGTTAACAGGTTTCCCTTCTGTAATACCAGATGATATTGGTTAGCAGCAACTTGTCCTCTGAATCTCAGCCAGGAAAAACGAAGAGGCAGCGCATCTCTGTGAGTGGTTTGATTTCCTACCACATCCATTGTTGACACAATGGGAAGAAATGGGCAGAGAGAGATGTAAATGTTCGTGCATGTCAGTCACACACTGCAACCCTGAGGCATCAACTGTGAAACAACAGAGCAAGGAAAAAATTACTTCTTTCTTTGCTTCCAGCTTCTTGACGTGCATGAGACAATAAATTGGGCTAATTAATCCCCTGTGCAAGGCACTGAATGACTGCTGTTATAGGAGGTGGCTCCTCCTCCTTTCATGGCCAGAACTGGAAGCCCCCAGAAGCCACGCAGGCAGCTACAGTATTTGATGCTGCACCTGTGTTATTTATGTGGTTCTTTTACCTCCAAGACACCAAGCTTTATACCTAAGAGAGAAGAAGAAAATAAGAGCCCATATATGGTCTGATTAAAGGGATCACAGAGATAAATAAAGCCACACATTTCTTTGTATGCTTCTTGTCTTCCTTTCGAAGGCACTTCTATGTGATGATGATCAGCGCTCCTTTAAGAAGAGACAGATCTGACACTTGAAAGGGTTGTGGTTTTTTTCTGTTGTTGTTTTCTTTGTGTGTTTTTTTGGGGTGGTTTTTTTTTTTTTTTGCTTATGAGCTTGAAAAATGCTCAAACTGCCTTATTCATATTCTGCAGGCTGATGACTTTGGGTTAGCTGTAAGAGATGCATTGAGAATTAAAGACAACACACTAATATAAGGTCAGAAAAACACGTTACCCTATAGCGACAATTTTCCCAACATTAACAATTAAACAAGGAACTTCAAGGTTGTGCTACAATAGTAAAATCTTTAGATAAAACTGTTTTGGTAAAGCAGGGCCCGGAGATACAGCCCTGCCTCCTGAGATAGCATTCCACCTTCTGCATGCTTGGGAGTTTGTGAATCCCAGCTCTCCCTTCCTGCTGCCTCACCTATCAGACATGCTCCTCCTGGATAAATCACTTCTCTGAGCTTCTTTCCTTCTGCTGCACTTTATTTACAGCTCAGTGGGGCAAGAGCTGACTCTTACCACGTCACACAACCCCAATCATAGTTCTGACTTCCAGAACTGCCCCCAGCAAGGGCTCCTGGTGACTGAAATGGAGCGGGGTGTGTGAATCAAGATGTAACATCTTCTCAAAAATCTCTCTCGCTCAAGATGATATTCTTATCCATTATGTCTGGTGAAAAAATTGGATGATGCCCTCTTTCAGCAGAAAGTCAGGAAGGGTGCCAGACTCCTAGACAGTGAGGAAAGAATTATTAAAGATGCTCTTCTGAAGTAAGGAAATAGAAATCATAAGTAACATCCTAGAATTCCACCTCAAGTTCTGTTCTCTCCCTCTCCTGTGTCCTCTGCAGCGTTTTGAATTCTGCAGTGCATCTCTGATGTAACCAGAGCTCCTGCAAGGACCTGACACTGCTCCACGATGCAGACAATTCAAAGTTGTGCCTGGGTGACGGCAAGCATACATAACTCTCCCTCAGACTCTTCGGTCCATTCCAGTGCCTAGGACTTATCTCTACTGATTTTTACCATTTCTAATTTAGTTAAAAAAAAAAAGTTTCAGATTTCAGAGCAGAGTGAATACAGTGACTCTGTAAGAAGCAGCTTTGCCGTTCAGTGATCCGGCACGCCGTATCTTTTCCCTGGTTAAAGCAGGCAATATTTCCAAGCAGTCTTAAACTCAGCTCTCTTCTGGCACACGACTTCCATCCTGTATCACTGTCAGGATGCTCCTCTGAAAACTTCATGCCACGCTCCTGCAGCTCAGCACAAAGTAACAACAGATCTTCAACTCTGCTAAGCGAGCTGCATCAAAGTAACGCTTACAAGAATCAACATACAGCACAAAATCAGCCTGAAAAGCACAGAATCTGCTGAAGAGATTCTCTTATCTGCATGCTGCTCTTTGTGACCTGGTCCGTGCTCTGATTCAGGGCGTCGTATGACAACCTGCAAATTGAATTAATGCAAATATTTTGCTCAGTGCTTTGTTTGATAAAGCTGAGCCTCATTCTCCTGATAACAATCAGAAGTGAAATAACTTTGCCAGGTGCTTTACAATCCCAGGGAAATGTTCTGGAATACATTACGGGTAATAACCACAGTTCTTCTCTCGCAGAGAAATGGGTTTATGTTTGAGCAATTTTAGAAAGTCACAATGAAAGCTGCCTTTTAAACATCGTTTTTAAAAGTAAAGGATTTGTCATTTATTTACACATATGTGTATTCTGATATTGCAGTGAAGAGATCTGTAGCCACGGGGCGATTTTTTTCACACGTTTTCTCTGCTCCCCCCCCCCCCCCCCCCATATTTCAGTACAAAAATAATCTGCCAGAAATACATTGTCTATAAAGAACGGTTAATTGCCAACGAACAGAAGTCAGTAAATACATCAATAGAAAAGACATCTCTATCATCTCTATCATTTTAAAAATAACACTATAAACACCTTCAGATCAGTCAGGGAAGAAGGAATCTGAAGCGCAAGCCTCCACGCGCAGCCTCAGGACCCGGCGAGAGGGGCCGAGGGCCGGGAAGGGCTCCCGGAGCACCGCGGAGCGCCCCGACAGCCGGCAGCGGCACCGCGGCACGACGGCCGGGCGCAGCCGCACGGCGCCGGCGCTGCAGGAGCACAGAGAGCCAACGCGCCGTCGGGAAGAGCCGGCCGGGCGCGGAGCGCAGCCCCTCCCGCACGCCGCGCACCTGTTGCTACGCCCGCGCCGCTCGCCTCTCCGGGGCCGCGCCGGGACCCCGCGGACCCCCTGCGGGCGGCCCCGGCCGGGCTCTGCCTCCCGAGCGGGAACGACGCCCCGCTTCTCCCCGCGGCTCCCGGAAGAAAAGTTCCCCGCAAACTTGCCTGCAAGTTGCCCGCCGTGCCGCGGACACCGAGCGCGGCCGCCGGCAGCCCCGCGGCGGGTAGCGGCCCCGCGGCATGGGGTCGGGCGGCAGCGCCGGGCCGTGCGTGCCGCGCTGCGCCGCCGTTGCGCGGTGCGGCGGCGGGGGCGGCCGCGTGTGCGGGGCGGGCGGGCCGGCGATCGGGCCGCGGCGGAGACGCCGGGGGGGCCGGGGGGAGGGCGGGCGGCGGCGGCGGCAGCGGCGGAGGGGCTCCGACCTCCGCATGGCGGCGGGCCCGGAGGCGGCCGGGCGGCTTCGCGACGTGCGGAAAGCCCGCGAGGAGGGCGGCGCAAGGCTGCGCGGAGCGCTGCTCGCCCGACTGCCGCTCTTCTGCGGGCCCGGGCTGACCTGACGGCGGGGACGGGGAAGGAGGAGCTCCCGGCGCTTTCCTCCGCGGAAACCGCTTCTCGCCCGATAGCGAGGGGTGCGGGAGCGAGGAGAGCAGCGGCCGGGAGACGAGAGCGGGCAGAGCAGGAGCAGGGAGAGTGGGAATGGGGAGACGGGAGCGGCAACGGCAGGCCGGTAGCGGTGCTGCGGACCGGGGGGCTCTGCCTCGCCGTCGCCACCAGCGCAGCTGCGGGGCTGCCCGCAGGTGGCATCCGGGGCTGCTGGAGGCATTGGTGAACTTGTGGCGCTCTGCCCGCTCCGTGCGGGTTTTTGTCTTTGCTTCTCTGTCATTAAAGAAGCGTGATGTTAAAAGTGTCCGTCAAAGCATAAATCATAGAATCTCCTTTCCCCCCTTCACCCCCCCGCCTATTAGCAACGGCTTTAGGAAAGCGATAATTGCTCTTTGCTCCGGTGGCACCGTTGCAGTGTGCGGTGACGATTAACACACGGACATTGGTCGTCAAAGATTAGGAGAGCATTCCCCGTGTCGTCTTTTGAATGAAATTTGTATGACGTCTGGGTAGAAACTACTCTGAGTGGACTGAATCTCTGTTTGAAAGCGTGAATTAAATCTTGGTTCCCGGGTCAAGGAAACAGCAGCATCTTCAGCTCTGCCACAGCCCCGTTTCTGGACAAACCGCTCCCATCCCTCGTGCTGCCGGTCCCGGCGCGCTGCGCTGCCGGCGCTGCTCCTTACCTGCCAGGCAGCGCTCGGAGCGGTGCAGCCGCACTCCGCACCTCCGCGCCGGGCGGGGACGGGGACGGGGACAGCGCTGTCTGTTCCCGGAGCGCTGTGCACTTCCACAGGGAGCGGGGGGTCTCGATCCAGCTGAGGTCCTTTGTTGCTATGGCGACGTAAATTGAAAACTTACACTAGTGATTTTTTTTTTTAAGGTTTTTTTTTTTTTTTTTTTTTTTTTTTTTTTTTTTTTTTTTTTTTTTCCAAATTAAATGAGTCTGCTTCAGAATTGTGTGGGCACTCAGAAATAGTCATGCTTACACTCTTCAGCTATAGCTGTCAACAGGAGTTGTGCAGAAAGGGCTGCAGGCGGCTGTGGGCAATGGGCGGCTTCTTCCTCGTATTGCCTATGATTTTTATTTGACTTTGGAAAGATTTCTTATGACAGCTCCCAGCCCTTGTCTGCAGAAGGGAAGAAACTGCTGTTATTGACCACAATGATACATATGAAAAGTTTTGCCTTTGTATAAGTATTCTGTAGTAATCTTGTTAATGAAAATCTGCATTTAAAAAGCCTTCATTGGTGATTGCTGTCAGTGAGGAAGGACACAAGCAGGATCTCCCAGGGAACTGTCTGGGAACAGTTTTCCTTGCTGTTTTCCATAATGAGTTGTGTGATGGAGCACAGAGTACTGTTACAACGCTTGCGGCGATTCCAACCATGGAATGCATGGGCTTAAAAATTGCCCTGCTGTTACTGGAGATCCAGTCTGAATCCATCCTGATAAAATTCTAGCATAAAAAGGCACTAAGAAGGGATATCAGATGTCAAATGAAGACTGCCCCATTGAGTGAAAATAGTGCAGAAGAGTCTTGGGATTACGGCAGGCCTGTGCAGCGCTGCAGAGTAGTTGTGCAGTTCTGAGTGTCAGTGACAGGGGATCGTACGTAATTTTGGTTGTTTTGTGTTATTTCTCTTCTGTTCAGCACCAGTCAGACTTGGCTGAAGCACTCTTTCCAGTTTCAGGCATTACAAAAGCTCTTAAAAAAGATGTGGGCAAACAAGATAGGAGAATAGCAACCGAAACCACAAGAAGCTTAGGAAATGTAAGCTGTGAGGAGAGATGGACTTTGGTGTTTGACCTGGAAAAGAAGTAACAATGCAAGAGCATGGCAACGGTCCTCAAATGTACAAACAGCAGTCACAAAGATGGCAGTAGTCAGTTGTTCTGAGACCACCAATAGAGGGGTAAGAAGCAACTTACCAAAAAATGTGATTAGGGACATTACTGTAAGTACGTGAAAAAAAAGCAGATCTAAATGGGACAAAACTGCTGGTGTATGTGAGCTGAACCTGGAGAGGCTGTGAGGGGTGGCTGAGCAGCCAGCAGCACTGCCTGCACCACGGCCGGCTCTGCCTCCCCTGTGCCATTCCCAGCCCCAACTTCTGTGGCTGTGGGCCGTGGGACCATCGGCACCTCTCTGTTCCCAGAGGGGCACACAGGGAGAGCTCATTACATCCCTGTTAATGAGTTGCTCCAGACTGTGCTACGTTTGTATCTCCTTAGCATCTGGAGACTGAGGGCAGTTTGTGATACCAGATGTTGAGTGGAGCTGTTCATTCCAAGTGAGCAGTTTTCAAATCTGAATTTGAGTAATAATGAGTGAAAATTGTTATTACTCGGAGGCCAGTGGAAATTGAAGCATCCCGGGACTCGTTTGATACTCACTAAAAATCAGCCCTTCTTTTGAGTGCTGGCAGGTTCAAGGTCAAGAACATCACTGAGAGCCCGACTGTTTGGTATGAGAAACATAAGTCAGCTGTGAGATTACTGCAGCCAGGCATTAGGGCTGCTGTGGCAATGGAGGTCTCGACTCATCAGGCCTCACCTCCATCTTTCCCAAGCATGGAATTCATGTGAAAAACAGAAGTGGTTCATGCCCTTGAAGGTAAAGAGTCCCGTGCTTGTGGTTCTGCAGTGATAAGCTGAGTACCTGCAAACCTGCTGGGGATTCCCAGAGTAAATCTATTGCTTTCTGCCCCTTGAGGAATTAGCATTGCTGCAGAGAAAAAAATCATCCTGCTTTCATTACTTCTAGTGCTTGTGGCTGCTTTTCCTTCTGTTCCTTTGATTGCTGACATTGAAATCCCATTCTGTTGTTCCTCTGACTTTTGCAGATAATTCCAGCTTCACCCTGCAGGCAGGAGCTGTGCTGCCAGCAAAACACGGTGCTTCAGCTCCACAGCACCTTTCACCTCTCACTCTGAACAAAACAAGAGGGAAAGTTCATTTCTTGTAAAACCAAACTTAAATATCTACACAGCTGAAAGGTGAGAATTTTCAAAACCAAGCTGCAGATCATGGATTATTCACAGAACTTCTGCATCAGAAAATTTCAACTAGCAAGTATGCCACAAAAATGCCATCTGTTTGAGGAAAACACTGCAAGCAGAGACAGAAGCAAAATAAATTATGGGTGGAAGATTGTTTGTCTGCTTTTAGAAAACTTAATATTTTTTAAGAATGTTTTGTAACGTACGTGCAAAATGTTAGGGTGAAAGTGGTAGCACAGACTACTGCTGCACTGAGGTTCAAAAAGGCCTGGAAAAAGAAAGCACTGTGCTATCTATCAGTGCTTTTCTCACACAGAACATGGGAACTCCCTTCAGAAAAAGGAAATCTATCCCTTTGTTTCTGATAGGTACTGATAGCTATTTTGGTAATGGAGACAGGAGGAGTACAGCCACCACCTCTCTAGCACCACCAGCACCACCGACAACAAGGGGAGTGGAAAGTATTTTCCAGCATTTAGCTCTGTTGGCCCTCTCAACACGACAGGACAACATGGCAAAGAAGGGCTTTAAAGTGACTAGAGATTAGTTAATGATCATGGCCTGCTCTGAAATTCGCCAGCTGTGGGCATTAGTGGGGTTGCTTGGCACGGTGTAAGCAGCAGATCATCTGGGTTCAGGCAGTAGCTGTTGCTTGATGGAAAAGGCCCTCTAAATGAGACAGGTGTGGTAGTTGTAATCAGATGGGGGTTGGCTCTTCACAGCTGTGAGTGGCAGGAGGACAAGAAACTGCAGACGTACATTGAAATCAGAAGTTCTGAGTGGGGGTAGGGAAATATCTTTCCCATGAGGTCGAGCAGTGGAGCAGGTGCTCACACTCTGTGCAATCTGCATCCTTTAGGATTTTCAAGACCTTTGGGTTAAGGTGCAGGGAGCTAAGCCTGCTTCCATAGCCCTGCTTTGAGCAGTAGTAGGCTGGATTGGAGGGCGGTGTGATGTCCTTCTCTGGCTGAATGGTTCTGTGTTTGGATGGTAATTGCTTTTGGAAATACTCCTGCCAGTTGCCTGCTTCCCTTGAGGTGTATGTGCAAGGTGCCTGCTATGGGAGGAGATCTGTCCCCTCAAGGTAAGTAGATTGTGTGCTGCTTGCAGATGGTCCAATTCTCTTGCCACTGTGTGATGAGACTTTTCTTTGCTGATTTACGGCAATAAATGACTCAGTGGGTGACTGAAGTGAAAGGAACCCTGAGTAACTGTGGCACTTGATGCCAGTGTTTGGTCAGAGAAGTCCCAGCTGGTATCACCTGCCTGGGATCACAGGAGGTCTGGAGCAGAGAGAGGATTACATTTAGACGTCTTACTGGTGGCTATTAAACCAAAGCTTTAGACCTTCATACTTAGCAAAAGCTTTCCTTTAGCTTTCTTCCTTGGACAGCTTTTCTGAGAGTTTTGTTTGTGGCTGTATGTGGTCAGAACAGAGCTTTTCTGCTGCTTCACTTCTGTTCATTCTTGCAGAAAATGACTGGGGAGAGCTGCATGAGCTGCTGCACGTCCAAACCGTGCATCATGGCACTGAGGAGTGAAGAGCAGCACATGCCTTCTCCATCTGCAGCTCTGCCGATGTGTTGTTTATGTTTGCAAGGTGGCTGATAGCACTAAAATTAACTTACAAACACTTGAAATGTTACTCCAGTACCTCACTCTGCCTCCTCCCCCATATCCCCACTGCAGATACACTGAGACTTCTGAGTGCTTCCTTGGTGTGTGTGCACAGCTGGTACTGCTGGTGCACGGTGCTGAGACATGGGCATCTTTGCAGTAGGATATAAATTTTATGGTGAATGTGAAACCACAATCTGCACAAACTCTCACAAAGCAAAGAAGGCATGGGCAGGACCTAGAGTGGAAAACAGAAAGAACTCAGGAGCACAGCTGTGTGGGAAGATCGTTTTGATTTAAGCACTGAGGTATGGATGTTGGGAGTTTGGTTTGGCCTGTGCTGGATATGTTCCTGAACTCAATGATGTGCCTCAAGGGCCTGGCTGTGCAGTGCTATTCCAGCTCAGGTTGCCTTTGGAAGTCCTGCAGCTTCGTGAGTGAGGAGAAGAATTTCTGTGTGTGTACGTTTTGCATAGACTACTCGGAATGTGCAGCTAATGTACTAGCATAGAGTGAGCAGGAGAATCTCTGCACGCAGGTGGCGAAGTACACAACAGTAACAGCATGGCACATCACTGGATTGCCACTTCTAAAAACGAT